AGTGGTGTCAGGTCTCTCCTACCAGCCGGCAGCCTGCTCTGCTTCACTTGCCAATGTGCCGTATAAGTGTCTTCTGTCTTTACGCGCACTGCTTCACTTTTTGTCCAGTGTATTGTTTCATATGTTGTGTTCATCCCTGCACTGCACTGGTTCATCTTCTGCTTCAGAATCTTCCTCTCGTCTATCAGCTTCCATGTGTCCGTTGAGTTCCTTTCTTTGTTGTGTTTCTTCTTCCTTCCTAATACAGTTATGCAGGTTTCTTTTCACGTCTTTTTCAAAGAGTCCCAGCGTTTTTCCACGGAGGTTCCTTCAGTGACGTTACTCAGTGTCTAATTAATGTCTGACTGACGTGAAGATGTCCGTTGAAGTTTCTTCCCTCAGTTCGGTTTCTGTTCTGGGTGTTCAACTTGAACTGTGGTCTACCACCAGCGTCTTCGGATGCTTTCAACTCGAATTTGGAAGTTCCTTGTACTAGATAGTGAGTAGTGTGAACCTACATCTGCTCCCCTTCTTGATCTTATGTCCAGTAGGCTGCATCTTCGCTCTCTTCAGATTGTGGTGAAGTCGATCTGATTTTTAGTGTGTCTTGGTGTCTGGTGAAATCCATGTCGCCTTGTAAACATCCTTGTGCTTGTACACACTGCCTCCAGCCACCGAATCGTTGAATGCGCAGTCTGCAAACTATATGTGGTGTAGGGATTAGGATATACTCATTGGTTTGTATCTCTAAACTACAAATCTAAACTCTTGTGTATGTGTGATTGCTTAGTCCAATACATTTCTGATGTGAAATCACTTAACCCAGAATCCGGCTAGGGCTACTCCTATAATAAATACATAAGATTATCTTCTGAATGACTTGAGGTTACGCGGACTTTGTATTCATTCATCAGTCAGTAGCAGTAATTTTAGTCCAAGTTTTTCTGTGCTAGTTAGTCTCTCAAGTCGGTTTTCTATGAAGACCTATTTTCTCATTCAATGCGTTGATCAAAGGATCTGATGTCATTTTCTCGGGTAAGCAGTTCCAGTCGTTGACCAATCTGTGTGAGTTGTGTAGGCTCGCGCTCAGTCGATTTGACCATGGATTTTGAATTTGTTTGTGCTGCTCTAGGAGATGATCGACTCTTGAGATTGCGAAGAAATAGCACATCAATTTCATGTTCATTGTTAAAGATAAGGGATGCTAATATTACGTACCCCTCCTTCTACGATAAGACGATGGGGAAAGATTTGGTAGTTGTAGATGATTCTCATAGGATAGGTTAGACACACCGGTGACCAATTTGGTGCCTAATCTTTGAATGTGCTTCAATGCCTAAACGTCTTTTATAAAGCAAGAACTAGCTGGTTTGGATGGAATGGTTGACTAATGGAAATTCGGCGAAAGGATAAATTGACGTTAGCTCTGTTTTTTTCCAGTGGTTCACAATACTGGCTGTGATTTCTTTTGACAATGCAGTCATTTCTTCTGAAAACGTAGTGGTGTACTATGCGGGTTTTACAGAAATTTAGGTTGGGCACTATGATGTTTTTGGTTTATATATGACTTTTTGGCATTCTCTTTTGCAGGTCTCTTTCCTTACCGCACATTTTTACTTAGCCCAGCATTTGATACCAAACCAAGTAATATCCATATGTAGGGTTGTTTCCTGGCTTACCTAAGCATCTGGTATTGAATTCGTTATGCATTCAGCCAATTACCCTAGAATTATCTGCAGCTTTGAACACTTGATTGTCTGTGAGGTGGTTGTACGTCTTCACATTGAGCCTTTGCATGAACCTCATATAAACTTGATGATAAGAATAAATCATACTCTGGGATGCAATAGTACGGTATATTTAAATATTTACGGATTTATTGTCTGAAGATTTTCTACACTTAACTCCTTTAATTTGTCTTCATAATGAGGTGATTATGCGTCTTTTAAAATAAAAGGGTCATTTCGTTTGAAGCGTACTTTTCTGTTGCATATATAAACCTCCACTGCTTAAAACACTATTGTTTAACAATACTATCCTTTGACGCGAATTATTTATAGTGGTCTTTTTGTCAGAACATTTTTCTGAGTAAGTGAACATATAAAAGCGTCTGAGTTATCTATATATTGGTTAAATCGATGCACACATCGAGTTGTAGGAAATGAGATGGTGTAAAGCTGGGCAAACGTAAATGTGAATAGAACGAGATGCATGAACGTATAAGTTCAGTTCACTGTATTTCACAACGTTATAGAGACAAGGCGTGGATAGGTGAAAGGTGTTATATAAAACAGCCGGGAAACATTGTATGATGGCTGACGAAATAATGATTGAATATTTTCACGAAATTCAAATCATCTGAGATGATAGAGGGTACATACATCTGCTTCACTATGGTCGATTTTGAGTGAGTTTTTTGAGTCCCCAGCTATTGATTTCAGTGTTTTCAAGAACCCTAACCTGGCAGTTCAAGTCTGAATGAGCGGTTCAGGTCACCAATCAAAGGCTTCATGAACTAATTCTAAGTCTTAATCTGGCCGCATTTACTCTTCTTGGAATTCAGACTGACTTCGGTTAACATCAGTCTTTGAGGTATGTGGTTGCTTGGCATGTCCACCAAATGTCCGTGCCACTCCTGTGAATAACTTCTCGCAATTTTATTTTGCCATACGCCTTTCGTGTTTGGTACTCTACTCTTAAACTGAAGAATAGTATGTTGATTTACTTACATTCGATAAGTTCTACAAACAGGCATGTGTTCGAAATTCTGTAGTTTTCACATATTGTTAGATTGAAGTGGCTAAATCTCACAGAAATGCAGTAGGGCAGAGCCCACTGCTGCACAGTATACTTTTCCTTTTGGTAGTCGAATATCTTTGTGGTATAAAAGGTGACAGAACTGCCAAATGGTGGTTTGGAATCCGAGCTTAGATTCAGTCACCAGCCAACATCTTCCCAAATAATTGAAAGAGACAACACTGTCCACCACTTTGTTGCCTGTCTTCAAGCTAGAAGTTGGTGGGAACCAATTGTGGTGTATTGTCTTACATTTGACATGTGCAAAATGCTTATAAAAATACTGCAGTTTTCATTCAAGGCCTCCAGATGACCACTTTAGCAGCTTTTTTTTACTACGCAATCGTCGGCCTACCCTAGGTCATTCAGGTGCTCTCCGGATAGCAAGTCGATGCCTGGAAAGTCATAGATACGTTGAGTTATACTCATCAGCACATGTGAAACAAAGTTGAATAAGAATGGTGGCAATATACCTTCTTAGGGAATACTCGTTTTTATCACTTCAGATAGAAACTTTCCATAGGCCGTTACATGGTTTCGGTAGCTTGAGTAAATAGTTTTGATCAGGATTACATATTTTCTCGGTACTTCCTTCACAGCCAGTGACTGCCATAATACCTGTCGGTCAACCGAGTCAAATACCGCGTTCAAGTCAAGAAGTATGGCAAGTATCAACAACCGGTAGGTATGCCGTTGTTCTTCGTCTTGAGGAAGAGTGAAGACCTAATCAACGCACCCTCTTTCAGGTTTGAAACCTGGCTTGTTTCCTCAAGTTTGTTGTTTGTGAGCTGTAGTCCTACAACCGATGACTATGAACCCTACTGCTTGAGACACCCTTGTCAGTCAAACATTCTCTGGTGTTTGTCACAAGAAAACTTGTCTCCTTCCTTATATGTATCACGATAAGCTATTTATGTCTTTAATGGAACTTTCTGTAAAACTGGGTCCATTTTACAGTTATATTAGTTGACACTGAGATGAGGATCAGTTTTCTCAAGTAACCTTTCAATCCATAAATGCCTTTGCCTATCCATTAGTACTTTTATAAGAATTTCTTTGTATGCAACTAAGTAGCTAATATCTACTGGTTTTACATGCGGTATTTAAAATAAGGTGGTTATTGGGTGTTTGAGATTGGGCTGGGCCATCTCTTTTTGTATCTTCTGAAATCTAGAAAAGTATGAACAACCAAGCATTGTTAACGGTTTTGTAGTTAAATTAATGAATTGTGAGAAGAAGGAATGTAGCATCTGTGATAGTGTTCGAACAATTAGATTATTAGTTGCGCATAAGTGGTCTTTTACCACAAAATATATTCTTGGTGTTTTGATGTATGTGCTTGTGTGTTTCTGTGCTGTGGTGGTGTTGAGAACTCCTATACTTCCTTGGTGTTTTTAACTGTCGTTGCAGTCTGAATCGGCATCATAGTTCGTATGTATATGCTGATCACTACTTTTGTTTTTAAAATGCAATCGGTACTATACAGGGATTCAGAAGTGCACTATGTAAATATACCAACATTAATTACACATAAAAGTGACTGTGGGAATAAAGGGGGAAGATAGCTGTCTAAACATTGACTAGCTATTAAAGTGACTGTCTTGAGAATATGTTCAAAGAAGTGTTCAATAACTTCATCTTACTTTACGAAAACATAAAACAGGAAAGTCACAGGCTCACCGATTTCGATTGTAAACATTACCTGATTACATCTCAAGGCATTAAGTTGATTCATCTCTCATACTCTATTTTGGGATTTGTGTTGCATCAGAAATTACTAACCCAATACATTTTTCCTTCTTCATATGGTGCCACGTTATACAGTGACCATCTTTCTACTTCTACTCTCCAATCTAAGAGTGAACTATGTGGGAGGTAATAAGAAGATATTTGTTACATCTTTGGCCTACCAAAGATGATGATGTCCATCACATTGAAACATATTCCGCTAAACTTTACAGTTATTTACATATTCCTATTGGATATTAGCTATTCTGTGAAAAAAAATAAGTGATCAGTTGTGGAGAATATTCATTAGTGATGAAAGGAAATTTAATGTTTCAAAAAAAATTCTCACTTTTTCGTTTGTTTATTCATGATTGTTAAAAGAAATCTATTCCCTTCTTTTAGAACCATAAAATTGAAACATAATGTGGATTAAATTATCATAACTGATTGCATAAATCACTCTTGTTGGATATTATTCATATGAAATCTTTCAATCAATGACAAATCAAGTTGTAACAAAATATGAAAAATTAGAAAAAATTGGAGAAGGTTACTTATTTACTATCATTTTGGTTATCTTCACGTTTATATAATTTAATTTAGGAACATATGGAAAAGTTTATAAGGCAAGAAATCGAGAAACCCATGAAATTGTTGCACTTAAACGTGTTCGACTAGAAAATGATGATGAAGGGATTCCTAGTTCAGCATTTCGAGAAATATGCCTTTTAAAAGAATTAAAGCATAAAAATATTGTCAGGTATTTCTCTATTCAATCAATCAATAATAATGATACAATTATAGACTATTTGATGTCTTACTTAGTGATTCAAGACTAACAATTGTATTTGAATATTGTGATCAAGATTTAAAGAAGTATTTTGACAGTTGTAATGGTGAAATAGATCAGAACACTGTGAAGGTATTCAATAAAGTATTTAATCATTTTTGTGTTGTTTTAAAAAAAAAAACAACTGTGTATATATTTCAAGTTGTTATTCATCGTAGACTGACTGACATCAATTGGAGGAACAAAGGAAACCTGGGAGCACTGAACAGCTGTTTTGTCCTAGTATTGGACTGTTCAGTAGTGCGCACCCATGACCCCACCAAAGATCGAACCCGCCACCTTTAGGTCCCTTGGCCAGGACGTCACCATTGAGCTACTGGGTCAGAATCCAATGGTTCATATTTCTAACTTCTGTTAACTCACGGTATATATTTAATTAGAGCCTTTTACCAGGCAACATATGATACTTTTAACGGGTTTATTTGAAAACTGTATTAGTCATGAATCTTCATTGTTTTTAAATGTTGCCTATTGTGGAAGGGTTGATGATATTGAAACTGGGGTAGATGGAGAGGTATATCGAACTTGTAAGCTATTGGTTGAAAGTCGACTGCCTAGATCAACGAGTGTTGCAGTTGATGCTTATTTAGGAGGGGAAAAAATATGGGATCTGGTAAGGTAGCTTGATCGTGTGTGTTATACTACCTCAAAATACAATTGCCACAGATGACTGACCGATAAAATCAGTGTAGAACCTCGCACACATGCATCGGCTCAAGTTGCCACACTTCACAGTAGTACAAACTGAACAGGAGGATAGAAAAGGAGTGATATCAAAGTATATAAAGTAGTGTGAGATAACAAACAATCTAAATATAAAGGTAGTGCAAATATTCAAGCTTTAGAAGACGCCAAAGACTGAATATATCTGCGCCAGTGTCATCGATTTCCAGCCATTCTACTTACAGTCCCCAACTACTGATTTCTTTCGTCTTGAGGACCCCTACTAGATAGTCCGGATCTCCCCACACGCCTCGGATCAGCAGTTATAGACTTCGTTGACTGGTTGCGCATCTAGGTCTGACCACTCTAAACCCTCTTTCAATCTAATCCAACTTTGGCTAGCATCGTACGTCGCAGTAGATGGAGGCTTGACATGCGCAGTACATATCCAAGCCATCTCAGTCGATAAAGTTTCACAACCTTATCAATTGACTTATCTGTCTCGCCTGGTACTTTTCGCGTGACCTCAACATTGTTCATACGGTGATTCCATCACTGTAGATGAACAACATACGAAATAACAGAATGTACACAATAAGGAAGCGTATGAAAATAAAGTATGAGTAGTTGACTTAGAGTATATTATTATTACTTATGAAAACGTTTAGAGGCTATCATAAACCAGTTTTCTGCTACTTCACTCTTCAAATGAACTGAAATCTTCAAACTTTGAACAGTTAGTACATTTTCATTTTGCAGAAGAGATGAGACTCATTCACTCAGTAATTCTGTATTCCTGGAAGTGGGTCTTGACTATGAATTCATTTTCACCTATTTTAGCCCAGCCAACCAGGTAGTTTAGTAAGTTCTCTTTTCACAAGTCTGGCTCAGAACCTAGCACATACATATGCAACAGGTTGAATTACCATGTTATTATTGCTTACAATGCTGTTTTATTTGTACGCATGAGGATTTCAATGAAATAAACGTAAAGGTTTAATGGTGTTATGTGTTTTTATAAAGGTGTCACTAAACCCAGTAATGAGACGTGCATACTAAAATACTAAAGCTAAGAAAACACTAAACGGCTGCTGTCAAGTAACACGTGAGATGGTTGGGACACGTGTTACGTATGCCTAGTCACCGATTGCTTCGTCACACAATGTTGGCTGAAGTAGGTCCAGGCTGAAAAAAGGCCCGAGGTGGCCAGACTAAAACATGGCACCAATGTATGAAGTCTCTGACTGTTGGTTTGAGCCATGTGGGGCGATGCAGACTAGGTGGTTGGGGTCTGTGGGGGGGGGGGGGGGCGGCAAGAGGAACCAGTGCTGGGAGACTCTAGGGGATATGGCTCTGAACCGATGTGAGTGGCGCAGATGTATCCCCACACACATTATCCTTATCTTAACGACACTATACCGAATTCCACTACTTTCTCGTTCGTCGTTTCTCTCTTTTCGTACTTTATATTTCTTCTCATTGCATTCTCGTTTCTTCATCTTGCTCCTCACCGCTTTTTACTTGATTTAGTGATATGAGGTGTGGCAAGTTGGACCGTTACGTAGTAATGCCTGGTCGTATGTTGATCTGGATGGATTGATGATGGCTGCTATCCTCATTCTAAGGTATAAATTTTTGCCATCATTTTGATAGTGTTTTGGTTGTGTTAAGTAGTATTATTATTGGCATTGTTTTAAAACCAACTGAACACATTGTAAGCATCAGAAAATGTGGTATGGAACATAGAGTAAGTATTATGAAAATATACAGAGAAAAAGATATGGAGAATAACGGAACAATCGTTAAACGAAAAGTATTCACAGAAAATACATTCAACAAGTATTGATTACCCTTTCTGTCATGTAATAATGAACGACAAGGAAGTTTCATCACGATGTCTACTCTCTTAAGTTGTCAGTCGTATCCCATAACACTTTATTAGTTATATGCTCTCTGTCAGTTCTATGGGGCAACCTAATCTAGAAACTTAAAAATGATCCTTATCTGAGACCCAGTCGAATAGTTGTTGAGCCAAGTGAAGAGTGTATCCATGACACTTCATCCTCGCATTCAAAGTGCGAAATAAAACAGTAGTGAAGCTCACCGGAGTCCTGACTGAACCTACCTGTTGTTCAAAACATACCAAAGTAGATAAGTAGTAGAATTAACTTGGCAGTAACATACAGGGTTGAGCACTATACCATACTAAATGCTTAATGTATTGTCTTAGAGGTGATGATATTATCTCAATATGTGCAGACTAATTTGAATCCCCTTGACTAGTTAGCTTGAAGTTGGGGGTGCATAAACCAACGAGTTACGGCCTCAACTTTATCTGTGGATGAACTTTAAAAGTGTAAGTCTTCTGGTGTATGTGGTCTTAAAGTAACTGGATTAAATTTCACATTCACAGACTACTTCATAAAGGCAACTGTTTAGTGAATTAGGACAACGTAATTGACTAAAGTAAGGATGAATACATTCAGACTGGAAAACTAAATCAACATAGAACCTCGCATGGAAGTACGTTGTTTCAAAGTGATACATTTCATAGTAGTATGTAAAGAACAAGTTGATAAGAAAGACTGGTATCAAAGTAGACAAAGGTGTATGGGGGGAGACAGGATTTAAAAATGAAGGTTAGTCAAGACATTCAAGCATTTGAAAACATCAGAGAGTGAGTACATCTGGGGCATTGCGACTGATTTTCAGCCATTTCACCAAGACTCCTCAACCACCGATTGCTATCGTTTTAGGGACCCAAGTCAGGTAGTCTGAGCCTCTTTACACAGCTAATATCAACAGTCAAAGACTTCATGGATCGATGCCACTTCTTCGTCTGGCCACCCTGAGCCTTTTAATGTGGTGTAATTTCCCCTAGCGTTGCATGTCGAGGTAGATGGTGGCTCGACATGTACAATATATGTCATTTAAGGCTCACAACCTTATCGGCTGACTTACCTTCCTTTCTTATTACCCTTTCTGCTGACCTCTACATTGCTCACGTGTTGATTCCACTATACGTAAGCAATGCTACAAATACACCTGTGATTAAGGACTTGTAACCGCTTCATGTTTCACAGCGGTATAAGAGGACAACGAACTATAGTGCAGTATACTCGTTCTTTGATAGATAGTCGGATATCTCACCAACGCCACGTATATATACACGTAACAATAGAGGAGCTGAATATAGTGTTTGTATTATAGACTTGATACGAGTCTTTATTATAGGCCGTTACATCAAGATTTATGTGATGGGCGAGATTCTACTTTAGCTTCCAGACTAAAGCAAGTGATTTTGAAAATTTAGCTTCACTACAAAACAGTCGAGCAATATTAGGACACATAAATCAGCACAGGAGTGCATGAAATTCAAGCTGACGAAGTGAAAATGGAATGACATTAGAATCAGCCAAGGTGTATGCCGCTTCAGAATATATAGATTCTAGAGTCAAGCGACATCACTAGTGTAGAATCATAGTCCTCCAGCTTCATGTGATCCTTTGGTGAGTATCTTACACCTTACTGCTTGCTTTCACTCTTACACAAAAGCTGCCATATGAGTGTATTGAACCCGAGTTACTTAGCTTGATCTATGAATGCATGAACGTACGCACAAATGTATTCAGTCCTACTTAGTTAGTCCATTTTAGTAGATTAAAGCTTGTTTAATATTTCGATATACACATTTTAGCTTTTAGATATTATTTCATTCCTCAAAGTACTACTAATACTGATGTTTGGTTCATCTTCATCACTTACAAAACTCTTCCGGTTATGTCAATGTGCTTATATGTAAAGCAGAATAAATGATATTCGAATTCTTTTGAGTACATAAGACCATTTATTAGTTCAGTTTTTGGAGACAGTCTATATTGATTTGATCTTTTTCAACTGTTACAATAAGAGGAATGGACAGAAACTAGTTGTAGACAGTTGAGGAGTAAGGTTTGTCTTTATTGTAGGTGTGGCTCATAGTATAGTTTCTCATCGTTATGTTTTATACTAAGAAAGTTCTGTACAAAAGCTTTCCTATTGTGTCGTTTCCAGATAAAAAAAAGGAGTAAAAAGTTATAAATACTGAATGATGACTGAAGGTGAAGTGAGGATTTGAGTCGTGGCATCATTCGAACCAACGACTTCCGGGTTACCGACTCGGTGCTCTATCAACTGAGCTACGAAGATTTTTATTTCACTTCAATCACGATGGATTTTACCCGACTACCATGTGAATTCGTGACACTTTACGATCGTTTGACCGTACTCACACTTGCTGCTCGGTTAGAACTTCTTATTCCAATCGAAATCTACTTGAATTAGAGAGGGGGAGCGTCATTTTGACTATCTGAGTCAGATAGCTGTGATTTGACAGACTTGTATTGATACTGGGTAACTTTTGAAGGTGAAGTTGTATATAATTACAACGATTTTCACCTAAAACATGTTACTTATACTTATTTTCCGCCGAGGTTGAATATCCCGCCAATATACGAACTTCTAAACTAAAATTTGGGTGCATTTTATGAACATTTCGGAATCAAATGGAAACATATCCATTTGGATGTAGTAGACAATGAACCACACTTATTGTGTTAGGGTTCAGTGATACTACCTGGCTTCACATACCTCAGAAGGTGGAGTGGGGCTTGAACTTGCGACCGACTGTCTAGACCAATGAGCCACAGCTCCACTAGGCGTTTCAGTAGAGTGTGTAAGCAGCAAGGAACATGTATTCATTGTTAAGTTCCGGTTACTTTCTCACTAAATTCATTATTATTATTCCCTTGGGTTCCTATTGGAACATAGGGCTTCAGTAGCACACCTCCATTGCACTCTGTTCTCGCTCCATCACCACTGTGTAGAAGGTTTCATTTCTTCCTCACATGATCTTCTCCATGTTACCCTCAGCTGGGAGACCCAACTCGTCGTTTCCCCTTTGGATTCCACTCGAGGGACTGGCCTGGCGTATGATGTCCCTGAATAGTCTTCTCAGTGTATGTCCAATCCATCTCTACTTCCTTCTGCATATTTGTTGGGCGATAGGTTGTTGGTTGGTTGGTTCGTTCCCAGGGTTTCTTGTTACTTATTCTTTCTGGCCATCTGATCTTCAGTATTGAGCCAGTGTAGGCAGCTGTTTGTAGATGAAGCTATGTTTAGTTTCTGAAGGAGTTTCAGAGCAAACTTGTCTTGTTTAACGATATTTCCGTCATAAGTTAGGAATCATTGACTCACTATTCATCTTCTTTTGACTACATGATCTTTGTGTATTTAGTATGCTATTTATATGACATACGGTTTTGTGTATAAATCATTTCTGTATTAGATTGGAAAAAGGAGAATGTTAATAAACTGTTGTTTTACACTTCATGTTTGTTTTTTTTTTAAATATAGCTGTTTATGTTTCAACTTTTACGTGGTCTACAGTTTTGTCATAGTCATAATGTTTTGCATCGAGATTTGAAACCGCAAAATCTCTTAATCAATGATAATGGAGAATTAAAACTAGGTGATTTTGGTTTAGCTCGTGCTTACGGAATACCTGTTCGTCAATACTCAGCAGAGGTTAGTTTATTTTGTGATTTTGTTCAGTTAGCGTATAGTTTCTTGTTGTCGTATTCATGAATCTTCTTTTTCTCTGTGTGTGACAGTATTTCAAATACTGTTTCACTTTTTAGTATATCTTGGATGCACTACTTAAGGTAGGCTTACTGTCTCAAGAGATACTCACAAGGGAACACTTTACGAAGTTGAGAACTGCGATTGAAAAGTCAACCAGATGACGACACCTATGAACAGAGAAGAAATATCCTTCGAGAGAAGCTTGCCAAAATTTTAAAACTATGAGCAACACAAGGAGATGAAAAAAAAATCTGAGGAACTTCCTCTCGAGAAAAGAGTGAATTATAATACGGGAAACCTTTTGGAACCAGAATTATTCACATCCCTAGAGTTATCACTGAAGACTTTAGGACTGAACTCTACGACCCAATGGGAGATGCAATAAGTAATCGTACCTCTGACCAGGCAGAGAGCTTTTACGAAACGATGATTCAACCATCCAGCTCAGAGAATATGACATCATCAAAATTACTGTCTCTATATTTTAACGCTGTAATTAGATATTGTTGTAGGTCATGGATTCGATTACCCGTTCCACCTACCAAGGCGGAACACTCAATTACCTTTGTACTACAACTGTGCTACATCTAAATACTAACACGAAGGAATTTAAGATGTTATGTCTCCGCCTAATAGTAATTGTCTGAACAACATGATTTTACCGATTTACTCTCAACATTAACCTTGCACACGTGATTAGTCTTGCATATTACTTTGCTATATCTTGTATACTCAATTCACGTACATGATGAATCACTCAATTTCGCCGTCTCAACTTTGCTGTCATTATTCATATATCTTTAGGCAGTTTAACACTGCCGTTATTCGGCATGTTGCCATGTAAGCTTTATAAAGCGTGACTGACCTTAGTGGTAATTATTTCAAATAAACAGTGTTTTAGAATGATTAATTTCGGTAATAATTTTAATTAATCTCTTTATTTATTGTAATATTTTTAATCCACAGTCCCACATTAAGCTTACGTAACGACATATCAGATACTGGGAGTACAGTTCAATAGGGTTACTTATGTAAGTCATAAGTTGATATGACAAATGTTTTCCTCTTCATGTATACTCGTGTAATAGGCAATCAGTCATATCTACTGTGTGAGGGCTGCCTAGACCTTGGTAGGTAGACTAGGGTTAAAACCTGCGATCCATCAATTGGGAGGTAAGCGCCTAGACCAATGAGCCAGAGTTCCAGCATAACTTAGCGAATTATAACTTCCCAACTAGACCAATTATGTTGGGGAAATGATTGACTTCATCGACCGAGAGGTCTTACAGCAATGTATCTTGTGGAAAAGGTTGCCTCGGAAGTAATTCACTCTGTTGAAAGCTCTATACTGGAACACTCTCAAGCTTGCGAGGGTTTATGATGAGTTGTCAGGCGAGTGGTGTCTGTCAAGAATGTGCAGTATCTGCTTTCTAATTTAATTTTATCATAGTCATGCGTACAGAGGCTTTTCTCTTGTCATCTGACTTTACAGAAATTGATCTAATCACAGAAGAGTATGCAGATAACAGTCCTGTTAGGTGAAAACGCTGACAACATGCACAGTCTTCTGAACACTGTGAGTGGCAATTTGAGAATGTTCCGGATGTGTTCCTCTCCATCCAAATGCAAATTGTTACTCCTGGATTGGTCTTCAACGGTGCCCCACCGTGGCTAACAATAGAGAGTGTAGTGGTTGAATGTGTTGACTACTTCACGTGTCGTATGTGAGAAGTGGGATCAGTCCTATCCTGGTGAATCAGTGGCCGATGAAGTCTCTGCATGAATATAGAAGGCTCGGCTTGGTTAGCGGCCGCCATGATATTGAATTATGTACTAAGAGTTGAGTGAACTACGTTGTAGTTCGCTCTTTTCTACTGTATGGCTGTGAAACATGGCTATTAAAGGTAGAGAAATGAGAAGGCTTAAGGTATTCGACCATATTTGCCTTCTTAGCATCTATATGAAGATGCCACATGCCAGGTAATTCACAATGGGAAGCTCAGTGATGCCTTTGAAGTGAAGATAGGAAAGAGTAAGACAAGGATACCTACTATCACCCATGATCTTCCTAATTGTGGTCGACTGGATCATGCAGCAAACCGTGAGGAGGCCATATATCGTGGTATCGCCACGTGAGTGATGCTGAAATCAAACGTAGAGGAGTGAATCACTTGATGAGGTTATGAGTATTCATCGACTCAGATGGCTGGAATATGTGTTACATATACCTAGTCTTCGTCTGCCTCATCGTATAATGTTATCTGGAAAGGGTCAAAGACTGGTTGGCCAAAACATAACAACAATAATTGAAGTCTGTGACTATTAGTTTGAGCCTTATAGGCAAATATAGAATTCCTGATTGGGATCCACATGACAACAAAAACCAGTGGATGGTGAATCTAGGCGACATAACTCAGTAATGTTCTTAGGAGCACAGGTGTATCCATACATTATCTTAATCGTCTAACTGAATTTCCGTATCCTCTCATTCATCCCTGCCATCCTTTGATGACTTTCTACCAGTTTTGACTACTTCTTAATCTTTAATCTTAGTTCTTTTTCGCTTGATGTGCTGACATGAGATGTAGCCACATAGTGAACCGTTGTACAATAATGCTAAATCGTTTTCTTTTGGTTTTGTCTGTTGTCTACATGAAGGTTTCTTCAGAAAGCAGGAGACCAATCCATTGAAACATTATCTACTATGCATATTTTTCTTTACCAGTCTCCTCTTGACACAACACCTTTTTTCTCTGTCAGTCAATAAAGATAATTTGTCTAATTCTGAAGGAATGAACAACCGAAAAAGATTTTTTCGCATAACTTCAAAATTACTATTAATAACATTATCTTATCTCACTTCTCTTCTATACGAACTGCGTACAGTTGAAGATTATCATCCATCAAAACCAACATAGCATCAGGCATTACTGCGTAACGCTCCGAGCTGCCACAGTTCATGTCACTACATCAAGTAAAAAGACAATGAAGTGGAAGATGAAGAAAACAAAATTCAGTCGAAAGAAATATAAAGTACTGAAAGTGAAAGAGATAGAGAGAAAGGAAGAATGCGAAAATGGTCAGATTCGGTATAGCGTTGTTAAGATGAGGATAATGTGTGCGGGGATACATCTGCCCCTAAATGACATCGGTTCTGAGCGATATCACCTAGAGTCTCCAACCACAGGTTTCTCTTTTCCCAACGACCCCAACCGGCTAGTTTGCATCGCCCTACATAGCTCAAACCAACAGTCAAACACTTCATACATTCATCCCATGCTTTAGTCTGCTCCCCTCCTCGAGCCTTTCTCCAGCCTGAACCTACTTCGGCTAACATTGTGTAACGAAGCAGATGGTGACTGGCATAACTGACACATATCCCAGACAGCCATCTCAGTCGATGAATTTTCACAACTGTGTCAACTGACTTACCTCTACCTCTACCTATTCTCCCTAAAACTCTACACCTGAGATTGATTTCTGGGTTACTCACGTGGTGGCGCCACGGAATACGGCCTGTACTTCACTACGTAGGCGACGGTTGGTCAAACACCTGAGACCTTCTCATTTATTCCACCTTCAATGGTCATGTTTCACAGCCATAGAGTATAACACAGTGGACTGCTGTGCAGTACATGCTATCCTTAATAGACAATCGGGTATCACAGTTACGGCGCCACAGGTGACGTAAGTTGGCAAAGGCCAATCAAACCTTTTGTATTCATGCAGAGATTTCATCGGCCACTGATTCACCAGGATAGGACTGATCCCACTTCTCACATACGACACGTGAAGTAGTCAACACATTCAACCACTACACTCTCTATTGTTAGCCACGGTGGGGCACCGTTGAAGACCAATCCAGGAGTAACAATTTGCATTTGGATGGAGAGGAACACATCCGGAACATTCTCAAATTGCCACTCACAGTGTTCAGAAGAGTGTGCATGTTGTCAGCGTTTTCACCTAACAGGACTATGTGGCTATCTGTGTATTCTAGGTCTAACGAAGATTCTCCCGCGATTAGGTCAACCTCTGTGTAGTCATGTGACGAAAGGGAGACTTCCTTCATAAGCGTACCATACTAGGACGAAACTCCTGTCCACTTCTCTCGGGTTTTGGATGGTTCTCCAACTGATGAACACACCTCAAAATACATTACTGTATGGTACACATTACTGAGATGCTTCCAGATTGATATCCTGAAGATGTAATAATAATTCACGACCTGTGTGTTGAACCAGTCCAGAGGGAAGCGGATGCCATTTAATGGCCTTGAATGGTAGTCGCTCTATATCACAAATTGACAGAAGCTGGAAACTGTGAAGTATTGAACTCTGATCCATTGACCGAATGGTTAACACATTCACTGTGAAACCTAAAGACCCTTAGTTCGATTCCTGGCTTGGTGGTGGGTGTGTACTGCGGAGTCTTGCACTAGACCGAAACACCTGTCTAATTTTGTCACGTTTCTTATGGTTCTCTAACTGTTGTCAGTCCATGATGATGTTTAGTACCTCAAAACTAAAATCCCCGCTAACCTCAAAATACGTGATTAAAACAAACTAGTCAATAGAATTAAAATATCGTAATATATATGTATATAGTTATCTCACCAAAAATCATGATATTTTAACCTTGAATTGATATTTTGCTTTTTTCAGGTTGTTACACTCTGGTATCGACCACCGGATGTATTACTCGGCGCTAAATTGTATACAACTTCAATTGATATGTGGTCAGCTGGTTGTATTTTCGCTGAAATGTCTAATGCTGGACGACCTCTTTTCCCTGGTTATGATGTTGATGATCAATTACAAAGAATTTTCAAGTAAATGAAAGATTTTTTTTTCAATAGTAAAATGTATACACATTGTCTCAATTTATGAATAGATTGAGTGAAAGTTTGAATATATTTTACCAAATAAGCTGAATTTTATGTAGATTATCCTTTGTTTTAATATTGCAATTCAACTTTGGCGTAATATTTAATTTGGTTATACATTTTGGTAGCAGTTAAATTTATTAGCCTAATACACAGAGTTGAGAAAATTGTCTACCTTTTTACCGTCTATCTTCAACTTTAACGCAAAGTGTTAAGTAATTTATTCAACTACTTGTAAATATTCAGATGATCCTAGAGGAGACTGGTTCCCACTGCATGAGAGCCTTCGATGCTCTTGGGGACATCATGATTGCCACTCCAGAACTCAGTGTGCTCGTGGTTGTCGTCTGGGTGACAATATTGGAGTAGATTATTGATCCCCCAGTTGACAGTTTGGAGAGTCCACTTGCACTCCATCTGCTTTCGCAGATTCCTAACACTTCAATGCGATGCGTTCTCATCTCCTTTGCAATCTGGACAGCCTTGCTAAGTCCAAACATGGTGCGGACATTCCATGTCCCCATATTTACTCTCGCTTCCATTGCAAGAAGACACATCAGCCAATTGGCTTCGCGAAGGCTTTCACTAACCGGAGTCCTTTCGTCTCTCCGATTACAGCGAGGAATAAGTTTTCTTTTTTAAATATTTTGTTTGTGCTTTGAAGTTTCTTTTTCGCTTGGATTTGTTTAACGGTGTAGGGTTCGTAACCCTATGTCCAACCTTCCCTGTTTACCCGGGCTTACGACCGGCTGGTAACTAGTGAACTAGGTAACCAGGCGAGCACTCAGCATGTGGAACAAGATGCGAATTTTCAACACTAACGTCAAGTCAGTTCTTCTATGTGATGGTTGAGAGACTTGGCGCGTTACGAAAGGGATTTCCAACAAACTACAGACATTTATCAACAACTGCCTACGCTAGCTCGTTACTGAAGATCAGATGGTCACAAAGAATAAGCAACAAGGAACCCTGGGAACCAACCAACCAAGAACCTATCGCTCAACAAATATGCCGAAGGAAGTGGAGATGGATTGGACATACACTGAGAAGGCCGACTGGGGACATCACGCATCAGGCCAGGCACTCGAGTGGAACCCAGATGGGAAACGACGAGTTGGGCGTCTGAGGCGAGGGTGACATGGAGATGGTGTGAGGAAGAAATGATAGCTTATGGGCTGTAGTGGAACCAGGCTCAAAAGTTTGCAGAACAGAGAGTGGAATGGAGATGTGCTAGTGAAGCTCTATGTTTCATTAGAAACCCAAGGGACAAATAATAATAATAATGATAGTAACAATAACTTGAAAATATTTGAATTATCAATGCTGTCAGGAATGATTGATTGTGAAATGAAAATTTGGCCTACGATATGATTCGAACCTGGAACTATGAGGTTCTCAATTGACTATTCTACAAACTGAGCTACGAAACCTGACGGCTGACCAGACTTGTTAAATTTTGCTAAATTTGGAATAAATGAAAGTCAATCAGGAAATATTAAGTATCAGGTGAAGAGATATCTATTCTAATTATTATTATTATTATTGTTATTATTTGTCTGTTGGGTTCCTAGGAAAACATGGAGCTTCAGTAGCACGTCGCCATTTCATTCTCTTCTCTACAGTCTTTTCAACATGGCTACACGACTGTCCACAAGGTTCCATTACTTACTCACACCATCTCCTCCATGTGATCCTCGCCTCTGACGTCCACCTCATCATTTCCCATTTGGCTTCCCCACTCGACGGCTTGACCTGTCCTCACATGCGATGTTCCTAAAGGGTCTTCCCAGTGTGTGTCCAATCTAATCCAATCCATCTCCACTTTGTTCTGCATACCTGTTGGGCGATGGGTTGTTGATTCGTTGCCAGCCAGCCAGTATTTTGTTGGAAACTCTTTTCTTGATGCACCAAGTCTCCCAACCATCACATCGAAGCAAGCAGTGACTTACTTGACTGAAATAATGTTGAAAATGTGGATGTTGTTTACGCTTTATGCTGAGTGGAGTGCAGTAGATCTCCACACTGATGTGTACAGATTAATGAAGGCCTGTATTGCTTTCCTTTTGTGATCCTGGCTTTGACATGGTCATTCATGGCGCTGCCTGTAGTCGGGACGATGCTGTGTAGGTGGTATTTGAAAGAGATAACTTCCTTTCGATGTCTGGCGTTCATGGTGATTGGTGCTTGTTGTTGTTGTTTGGGTATCTTCATTACCCCTGTCTTCTGTAAGTTCACTTGAAGGAAATCCTATCTTCCTTCGCTGCCTCACCTTTTCTGCCTGGCTGTTAGTTTTCGCCTGTACATCGAGCTTTTGCGACATTAGACATAACTCATTGGCGAGATATATCTATGCAAGTTTCGCACCAAAGGACTACATTAGAAAAAGCTCAATTTAGCCTATGGGATTCGATCAATCGATTACTTGAGAACAGCACAAATCAGAGACTTTGCTATTAGTGATAAGAAAAGAATGACAGGAAGATGTAGGTCATTCACATGCAAACGGGTTGTATATTTAAGAGTATACAAACTTTAAGTTGAAATTTCATAAGTATGCGCAAACATTTTAAAGGAGAGATCATCGGATGTCGGTTATATGTGTCTTACGAAACACCAGGTTATTTAGAACCGGCTGATTCCGCTAAGAAACTAAGCTACTTACGCATAATATATGCCGAGAAAGTGACTAAACATCACCGTCAATTAGGCAGACAGACAGAATCAACACAGAACCTGGCATTACTGCTTAATTGTCCATCTTACCACACTTCATATCATCACGAGAGAATGCGCCCAGAAAAGCATGAAGAAATAAAGAAGGAAGTATTCAGAAGCGGCAGAAACTCACCAAGAAAAACCGGGAGGAATGAGATAATACTGAAATTCAACATAACGACTGAGATGAGGACGCATCTGCGCCATTGACATCGATTGGATTTGATTGAACACACACTGGGAAGATTTTTTGGGAATATCGCACGTGAGGACAGGTCAAGCCGTCGAGTGGGGAAGCCAAATGGGAAATGATGAGGTGGACGTCAGAGGCGAGGATCACATGGAGGAGATGGTGTGAGTAAGTAATGGAACCTTGTGGACAGTCGTGTAGCCATGTTGAAAAGACTGTAGAGAAGAGAATGAAATGGGTACGTGCTACTGAAGCTCTATGTTCTCCTAGGAACCCAAGGGACAAATAATAATAATATGAAGTAAACAACCTAATATGCAAGTGTACTCTACTATAGTGGCTAAGTTTTACTCTTACACTACTTCAGTTAACATTGTGAGACTAGGCAGATGGCGAATGGACTTGTGTGACACATTTCTCAGCCATGGAAGGTGATTCAACTTCATCGATTGATTTTCCTCTGCCTCTAAGACTCGACACTTGACTTCTACGTTACTTCACTTTCCAGACGAATTCGTTCAAAACAGTATCGGTATCATCTCATGATGCAATAATGAAAATAGGGTGGATTAATAGACTTTGATTCGTGCCAAGCACTAAGGACTAGAGAGATGGTACATCAATTACCCTCTGATGATGAATTCGTTATGGAAAGTATTCTACAGGGGATCACACGTGGCTTGAATAACTTACTGGTAAAGTTTCTCACTCTCTCACTGAGTTATGGATGTTCGAATTACTGCGGGAGCATTCTTTTAATGTATATTTATAGATACGCTTTGCTGATGAATGCTAGAAAGCACGAAACCGCTAGGTTCTAGGCAGGACGTTCTGTCAATGGACTTCCATCATCTAACTTGAAATAATTTAAACCATGTTTTCTTTCCATTTTAACAAATGGAAAGTTATATTCAGAGTTTCGTTTGAAAGTAATAATTGTACGATTGTTTTCAAAAAATACTTTTATCCAACTATCCACTTTAGGTTATTGGGGACGCCAACTGAATCAACCTGGCC